ATCACATCATCTAATGAAAAAACATCTTTGGCTTCATGTTTTAGCAGCAATAGGTTTCACATGGCCTCAGGTATGACGATGTCACAACACAAGCAGGTACGGTAATTCAAGTACGGCAGAAACAAGGCCAGCTCACACCTGGCCTGGCTTAACTCGAGGACAGTGTCTGCAGGCAGCAAATGCCCACCAGCACAGGCAGCCGCTCCTTATCCCACCCTCTTGCCTCAGCCCCGGCAGACACGGCAACAGATTCAGTCCTCAAGCGTCCTCAAAGATGCCCAGTCCTCTGGCACCTCACCCAATCACTAGCACTTGGCATCCAAGGCAAAAAGAACACGGCATCTTTGCTCTCGGGCAAGTTTCCCTGAGCGCTGTGTTGACTGGGTGAGGGGTGGCAGCGGGAGCAGTCCTGTCACCGCGTGCCTGTGTGCACAGCTGTCCCCTCTGGTGGCAGGCCCTGTGGAAGGACCAGATTGCCATCCTTCTGGGACAACCAGAACTTGTCAGCCTGCCAGGGTGGGAGCCTGGAGCAGAAGCCCCATGGAGAACTCTTGTCTCCTTGGAGCCGAGAGCCTGCTGCACTGCACAGGCCAGCAGGGCTGGGGCCATGGGGACCACCAGGCTCAAGCCCAATACCTGTGCTGTTTCTTCAAAGAAACGAAGTCCCAAACACCATCATTTCAACCAATGAATTTTGTCACACAAGAACCCTCTAAAGGACAAGAGAGTTGTCCCATATGTGTTTCTCCAACATAAACACAAATACACTGGAAAAAACAGTGTAGTTCAGTTAAATATTAGAATAAGAGATCAGGTTACAAACTATGGACTTAGAAACATAGATTTCTTTTCATGCCTGGTTTTTCCTTATGGCTAAAAAATCCATGCCATGCGGGGTTATATTTCTAGTGGAAGAAAACTTTAGGTTACCTAAAGAACCTAACAGGTAAATTTAAGAGAATTAGAACTATTCTTATTTTATCATGCTAGAAATTGCTACATAGTCTATACCTAATTTTTTATCTACCATGTTAAATGGAGAAGGACCAACCACATCGTAAGTTATCACACAGTGTACCCAAAGCTCTTTCTGTGTGGCAACTGGAAAAGGCTAGTAATTGAAACCCCCATGCCTGAAACTCTGCTCTTTATGGGATGTGGTTGTCTTCCAGAAAATCAACGACAAATAAAGGAAACAAAGCATATTTGATAGCAGAGCTAGTATGGTCAACAACATGACCATCAGTGGAAGCAAGTGCACTGCATCCATTCTTCTTTCTTTAAATGAGAACAAGCACCACCCAGCCATGTCTTCTGTTCATCTAGGATTAATGTTTAGCGTCCAAGATGACCACCTACAGGCACATGGAAATGCAGACAATTTGGACTCGGTATGGTCGTAAGAAAAAAATACAAGCTCATGAAGCATCCACAGTCTCAGACAGATCACACAGTGACAGGAATTGAGCTGACTCATGCAGACCTGAGCATGGGGATTCCCAGGTACGTCCTGGATTCCAAAGTACACAGGCTATCAGTGCGGGAAATCTGCAGGAACGCACACACCCCTCCACATCTGCTCTGGGCTGATCCCAGTTCCAGGACATATGCGACCTGACGTGGCCCTTGTTGCACACTGAGCCCAAGCTAGAGGTAAAAACTAAATAAACGTTCGAAGGTGTTGCCTCAAATCCTTGCACAATCATCCAGCCCTCTAAAGTAGGCGTTCAAAAACAAAACAAAACAAAACAAAACAAAAAAACCCCAAAAAAACCGCTGCCCCAAAAATCAGCGCCTGCAGAGTCTTATCCAAAACACCCAAGGCGAGTGCAATTTAGCCAATTTTTATAAGACAGGTATGAAGATTCCTACTTACGTATCGCATACAAGGTGAGAATTATTCCAGCCAGGCAAAATCCTTCAAAGAACCTGAGTGTGCTGAACATTGTCACGTTCACTGAGAGTGCCACGGTCAGTCCGAAGATCAGAATGAAGATGACAGAAAACAGCAGCACAGGCCGGCGGCCAACCCTGCAGATGGAGAAGGACAGTGGGCATCATGGTTAGGGAAGATGGCAGCGATAGATGCCAAAACCCCCGTCTCCAGCAGCTGCTCTGTGTGGGTTGAAAACGTGTGGAAGGGAGGTCTTCACACTGTCTAGACCCACTTTCCTAGCCCCCAGACCAATGGCTGGGGCAGAAAGAGGAACATTTAGCCCAAGCCCTGGAGCCAAGGGAGCAGGGACCAAACAGCAGTGGGTAAGAGAACTGAGGCATGAACCCGATTTCTGCTGCGAGTCTGTTTCTGAGTCTAAACAGGGTGACCAACGCAGCAAGGACAGGACTCAGAATGACTCCCCAGACACAAAGCTAGGTACGCTCAGCATCAATTGTTCTAAGAAATGGCTGATCTTTGGAACTGGACGGAGAGCCAGCAAGGGCACGAGGTGGAGCAGCTCTGCCTCCGTTCTCCACGGTGCTCTCTAAGACAGGTACCCGATCCCCAGGCAGCCGCCAGTGTGTGCACTACAGGACGAGCAGTGGTTTGCAAGGGTCGCAAGACACCCAACCAGAACTTTAAATAACTGGTGTGGAGCTGCCAGCACGCTTAGGGAAAAGCCCCCCGGAGGACAATAGTCTCTCCGAATTCACAGACTACCACCTGGGCCAGGCAAGGAGGGGACCGGTGGGGCTAATGTGCTTGTGGGAGGCTGGCAGGGCAGTGGCGTCCAAAGCATGGGGAAGCCACTTGCTCGCCACCCCCACACGAACTTTCTCTTTATTATCTCATTCACAATAAAGGCATGGCAAAACTCATAAACTTTTACATATCAATTGGCTGTGACTGCAAGTGAAGGCCCAGAATAATGGGGAAGGACTGGATGATATTTGCCAAGACAGAGACCAGAGAAAGGGGCACAGAAACACAGGCTCAGTGCCCTGAACACCACGTAAGCTAGCTGAATGGTGTAACGGGCGGGCATCTACACACAAAGCAGATGTCTGGAAAAGGCAGCTCTCCTGAAACTCAAGGTCGGTCTGCACTTGCCATTTAGCACAGGGTCTACAGGGTGTCACTACACAGATCGGACTCATAGTGATCCTCATGTTTTCATCCTCCCAAGCGCTGGGATTACAGGCATGTGCCACCACGCCCAGTCTCAATTGTCATCTCAGAGTTCCCCCAGGGGTGGGGCTGGCGTGGTAGGCATGGGGATCGAGCCCTGGCTGCTATGCTCTGCCTAAGCAGGCACTTTAGTCTGCTGAGCTATCTGGTCAGCTGATTTATTTATTTTTTAATTTATGTGTTTGGTACAGGGTCTCACAACACAGTTCAGACTCGTAGTGATCCTCCTGTTTTCAGTCTCGCCAGAGCTGGAATTACAGGTGTGTGCCACCATGCCTGGTCTTGGTGGCCGGCTCAGCATGCCCTGGGTTGGGGCCTGCGTGGCAGGCGGTGCCAGGGATCGAACCCTCGTCCCCGCACTTGCCTAAGCAGATGCTTAGTCTGCTGAGCTATCTCACCAGCCCCGCATAAGCATCATTTTGAAGGAATGGAAACGCTTCCAACTCAGAGTGGGAGAAGGTGGCATAGTCCTGTGGACACACTAAAACTCAGAGTTGTGTGCTTTAAATGGGTTTTATGGTATATGAATAATCTCTCAATGAATCTTCTTTCAAAAAAAAAAAAAAAAAAAAAAAAAGACTAATAACCAGCATGCCTTACTCCATGAAGGGGATGGCTGCCATTTTAAGAAAATGTAGGAGAGAAACCCCCCAGCGGCATTTCCTCCGGAACTTTCCAAACCTCTGCCAGCCACACTGGCGTTGGGTGGTGAGGCCACGGCTACGAGCGCCGTGGCCACGAGAATCAGTGCCCTGAGGTGGAGGTCGCGCTCTTTGCTCCCCCTCGCCTTGCTGTGTTCAGGAAGCCCCTCCAGGGCAACCTCACTGGATGGCTCTGTCCATATCCAGCTCATTTACAGATATAAATTTATGTGACTTAGTGTTCTCCTAAAATGAAGGAAAACAAGAAACCTGACACCCACTTTTACTGGCCTTTCCTTCCTCATCTGTACAATGGTGCTAAGTAGGCTCCTTCGCAGGTTTCCTGAGGCCTTCATAACAGCAGACGGCAGACAGAGTGACACAACCCCCAGCCCGAGGTACCTAACGTTTAGCTCCCTTCCTTCCTGCACTTTGACATCCCTGATGTTGGCCACAGGTGGTTTGCGGTGTTCTGATACTTTTTAGAAAAGATGCTTGAAGTTTTTTAATCTTATACAAGCCATTCCAAGTCCCTGCTCCCAAGTAACTGCTGAAATCGGTAAGTAAACCTTCTTATCAGGGACTGCGGGGCCAGTGAGCTCTTTGAAGTTGCAGTGCCCTGGTTTTAAATCCACGCTCAAACCTCTTCGGAAAGACATGGTCTTGGGACAGATGAATCTAGCTCGAAGGAGCCTGTGTTCCTTTTCCTGGGAGCCCCTAGCAGCGCTATGGTGGTGGAGCGCAGACGTGTTGGGCGACTTGGCAAGCATTTACTATAAGCTGAAGCCTCGGAGGGTTCGCATGCGATGGCTCTCCAGAGTGACGTCCCCTCAGAGATGACAAAAGTCTTGCTCTTCAGTCTGCCAAGCGAGGCGTGATTACTCACAACGTGTGGCAGGCATAGTAACAGGCCCCAAAGGTGTCCGTGTCCTAATCTGCAGGTAGGTTAAGGTTAAGGACCTGGAGATGAGGTGTCCTGCAGGTGAGTCCCACCGCCTTGGCTGAGGGCAACGGGGAGGGTGTGAGGTAGGCGGAGAGGGAGGGGTCATGAGCCACAGGACACAGCCAGCCCAAGAGCTGGGGATGCAAGGAAAGGCCTGTCTCAGAGCGAGCTTGCAGACAGGAGAGCCCTGGCATCAAGCTAGGGAGACCCCTGAGGGCTTGGGACCCACAGGACTGTCAGGTGGTTAACTGTGCTGCTGAAGCCCCAGAGCCTGCAGTGATCAGGGACTGCAGCCACCAGGCACTCATAAGGGGTCTCGGCAGCAAACAGCCGCTTGAGGACGACTTAGTCACTGGTGGAGATTTGCATAAAGGGATTATTTGCAGAGAGGTCAAGCAGGAAGAAAACCTTCAAGAGACAAGGCTCAAGCTCTCAACAGCAAGGAGCTCGAGAAGAGACCGTCACTGGCCACAGAGGGGAGCTGCTGGGGGGCCGCCATTGGGTCGCCCCTTCCCTGAAGAGCTCCCTGCACCTTCCCTAAGACTGCAGCTTTCTGTCCTGCACTGGCCACCTGGAGCTGCAGACAAGGGGCCCTTGGCTGCGACCCACCCTTGTCACTACCGAGGCAGCATAATCCTTGAGGGCGCACACGTGGGAGGGCACGAGCTCCACGTCTGTCCCACCATCTTCCCGCTGCGCTACTTAGCAATACCTCATTGGCCTCCCCAAAGCCTGAGCTGGAAACAGCTATCAAAAGAAAGCAGTGTGACTTAAACGTTCACACTCGGTGACTGCAGCCACAGAACTCTTACCCTCTGACTCTGGCCCACTTCCCCACTGCACCCAGGAAACTACCTCCCTGCTGAGGTCTGGGGTTCCCTTCCATGGGCTTGTTTCCTTCTAAGCAAGCAGTAAAATGCCAGCTAAAAAAAATAAAACCCTCAAAACAAAACATGAAAAAAAATTAGAGGTGGAAAATACCGAACTTCCAAACTGAAAGAGGGCCACTCAGAATGTCCAAAGCCAGCAGGGCCGCTGGGGCTGCTGAGCCCGCCTGCTGGCCCACTCCACATGGAGCTGGGAAAAGTGGCTGCAGCTCAGTGTGGTGGCAGTGTGATTCCTGGGGACTCCCAAAGCAGGACCCCAGTTCTCCAGGCTTTCCCGGATCTGCGGCTGATCAGAGAGGCCACTTGGTGTGTCCGTGCAGGAGTAAGGCATCACCCAGCAGCCCTGAAGGAACACACGCCTGCACAGCCTGGTTCAAAGCAGAACCCTGACTGACTTCCTACTAAATCACTTACAGAATGAGGACACTGAAAGTTCTATCAAGTCTGCATGTTTCAGGAAGATGGTGACAGAGGTCAAATTTGTATGCATGTCTAATTTATTTTAATGCAGATTTCTGGGAAATTAATTCTACCTTCTACTCTGAAAAAAAACAAACTAACTCAAAAAGCCAAAGGGGCCCCAGAGTAGGTCTCCAGGGGTCCCTGGCAGCTTCTCCACTCCTGTCTGCAGGGCATGGGTCCCGAGGAAGCCCTTACAAATGATGACTTGGCAGACTCTGGGTACACAGGAAATCACATTATCCGTTAGTGCAAGGAACTCCCAAGCAGACAGAAGCTTCTGCGAAGAAACTTCCACCACTTCCAGAGGCCTTGGAAGCCTTACTACCCCGCCCCCTGCCCCAACACACCCGGCTGGACCTTAGTCAGCCTTCACAGGTAGCCAGGGTACACAGGGCCTTGCAGAAGCACAGTCATTAGGCCTAGGATGTGCTGATTCACAGCACAGCGAGAGCAAAAAGGATTCCCCTGAGAGGGAGGATGGGGGATCAGTAATGCCACTCCTCCAGCTGGGCACCCCGCTCCCCAGGCAGCTGTGTCCCTGCAGGGCACAGCTGCGGGGTGTCCTTCTGATCACTGAATGCCATAAGGGCGAGCACTGTGGTGCCGGGCTCTAGAGCCATGTAGCCTGGGTTCAAGACTTGAACCCTGTTTAAAGTTGGGTGAGCTTGGAGTTTACTTACGCCTCCGTGCCTTGGGTTTTCAACGAGGAAATGGAGGTGTAACAGCACCTACCTAACGGGCAACTGAGGATGGGCCTGAGGTATGGGACTCTCTGTCACCGTGCCTGGTACACAGCAACTAGCAAGCGCCAGATGCTAACAATGTCATCATCACTGTCATTACTAACTTGGCCACTCTTCTCCAGCTCCCCATTCCCTGCCGTAGGCACCGCCTCCCCCACCCAAGAACGTGTACTGATGGCCACCTCTCATCCCCACCCGTCCCTGTCTGCAATGCCCATGGTTTGCCCAAATGCTGGTATCCTCCAACATCCCCTCCCCATACGCCTGGGAGAGGCATCTCCTGCCAAGGCAAGGACTATCTCTAAAATGCATGTGGCCCTAAAACACTTTGCCTGAGACAATTCCAGTCATTAGTCACTAGGCAACCCTGTGTCTCCTGCTATTAACTTGGACAAATGCATAAATAAACATCCCTACCGAGGTTGTTCAGTTCCTTTCCTGCCATCCAGAGAGAGCGGGCCCCACCTGACTCCAGCTTTTATCCCTTGTCTTTGTCTCTTGATCCTGTCGCCGTTTTCCCCCAGGAACACGGAGAGCTGCATGGGACCAAGCAGACCTCACACTCCTTAGCTGCAGTGCTCTTGAGCCTCAGTCTCCTGCTGGGAGTACAGGTGCGCGCCGCTGCGCCCCATCCACCCAGCGCTCACGGTTAGTCACGCAGCTGGCGCATCCACCACGCAGCTCCAGCCCACGGAGGCCCGCACTTGAGAGCTCATGCTCTTCCTGCACATCTAAAGTCAGCGCTAGATTAGGTCGCAGGCTGGTTTTGACTTGGAAAAAGGGTACATATTGAAATTTTCACACCCAAATGGTCTGTTATGTGTACTGACCGATTCTTTTAGCTCTGCATTGTCCAGGCAGTAGCTTCAGCTTTCAGTTCTGGCCCCAATACCGGGATAGAAAAACGAGGAGTAGTGTATGCGACCACGGGCCACGTCTCTAGCCAGCCAAAGCATGGGTGGCTCCCAAAGGGTCTCTAGTGCGTGTGGGTACTCACCAGTCCGCAATGCATCCAGTTATTAGGTAGCCAAAGATTAATCCAACCAGTAAGGAGAACTTAGCGATATGGACCTTCCAGGCATTGTCACACACAAGATCCCACTAGAGAGGGGCAAATAGAAAATAAATCAGAGAGACATATAAACAGCGTGAGTCGTACACAACCACGAGGGGAGCACAGTATTCCTGCGAGGACCATGGCACTGTCCCCTGGGCTGCGTCACGCAGCCTGTTGAAAGCCTTGTAATGTTTCAGAAAATCCAACGAGAAGTATCATTTGCTCACAAACTGAAATGTGGCACTTTGTTCTAGAACACATCGTCTTGGTCCTGAAGGAAGGGCACGTGAAACCTGTGGTGTGTGTTCCTTCTGTCCCAACCACCACAGGAAAGGGAGGCGCAGGGGACAGCCAGAGATGGGCATCTCTGCCCCCCCGATGCCCAGCAGCCCCTCCTATCCAGCGCAGCTGCTGTACCTCCCAGGTGGAGAAGCAGCCCTGCCAGCCTTCTGCACTGGGTGTTACAAGGCCAGAAGCAAGAGAGAGGTGCTCTGGCACCTTCATCTTACAACACCCCCCAAATGACAGTCTTTTTTTTTTTTTTTTTTTTTTTTTTTTGGTAGAACTGGGGATTGAACTCGGGCCCTTGCGCTTGCCAGGGAAGCACTTATTCTACTGAGCCATCTCCCCGGCCCGCAAATGACAGTCTTAATAACAAAGGCAGGAGCTAACAGTGACTGTTGGAAGAGGAACTGGAAAATTATTGTTTTTCCTTCTGAATGCTACTTGTGTTTTGCAACATAAATTGAACCGGCTACTTGAAGAGAAAGCCAATGCACCTTCTTTTGCACAGTTAAAATGTATTATTTAATAAGGAAAATTGAAACAGTCCTCCACTATCATCTCCCTTTGTAGTAATAAGAGGGAAACCTGTGCTGATCTTTCTTGGTGGCATGTGCCCGTGTGTGCCCAGCCACTCAAGTCTGCAAAGCTCTCTGCTGGGTTGGGAGTTCTCACTGGCTGGCACTCAGAGAGGGCAGCACCCACCTTGCCCTCGGTGCCATGCCTGCCCTCTGCTGAGGACACCCTCCTGTGGGGAAGGAAGTGGCTAAGCCTGCAGTTGGTGCTTTCAACTCTGGGTCCGGGAGGCCAGCTGGTGGCGTGGGTTGATGGCTACACTGTGATGAGGTGGGTGGGGATCCAGAGCAAGAGGCGGTCCAGGTGCTGTGGGCACAGAGGGCGCTGGGGCCCAGGTAGGGCTGGGGCCTGATCCAGCTCTGTCTTCCTGCTCCACCCCACCCAGTCCACTTTGAGGCCCAGAGTGGAATGCAAGACACCTGGTAAGATCAGGGCAAACTTCTAAGAAGCCAGGCAGAGCCGTGGGTCTCTGCTTCAGTGGGAGGTGGGTAAAGCCAAGGTTGCATCCTGGGCCTGCACAGAGTGGGAGGGAGCTGGTCTCATGCTGTTCCGGCTCCTGCCCCCGACTCCTAACTGTACTTGGCAGTGGGTGCCCCAGGAAGCCTACGTTCCCAGAGACCTGAGAAAGGGATCTACTCTACCCCATCTGGCTCCAGAGGGGTCTGAACTGCCAGGCTGGGAAGAAAGCGACCAAGGAGTGTGAGCGAAGCGGACCAGTAAGGCTCAGGTTTGCTCCCACGTGTGGGACAAGGGTACGGCTGGCTGCACAGGATCTCAGGAGAGCTCAGATAACCCCCTGCAGTGCCCACTGCAGGTTCTCAGCAGTGCTCCACAGCACAGGAGGCAGAGCAGCTGCAGAACCTGGGAACAGTGAGAGAAGCAAATTCTTGGGCCTTGTGGGGAGCTACAGAGCAGTGAGCCAGCCAGGTGACTTTCCTTGCTTCCAGGGACCTCTGGAGGTCCTGTCTCCCCGTCCCTGCCACTGTGAGGACAAGGCCTGGGAACTCTGCTGTCTTGGGCAGGGCTGAAACAACTCTGCAGAGCAGGGAGAAGCTCAAACCCCACGTGAAACCCAACCCGCTGTTGCGAGCTGCAAGCTCCGGACTGAGAGGCTGAAGACAGCTTGCGTGTGCTCCTGCGGACAAGCTGGGTAACCGAGGCTTGCGGACATGAATTTTAGTAATAAATACCCTTTGCTGTGCGATTAACCACTAGCTTCAGGAATGAAGAGTCGCTTTAAAACACACACTCCAGCATCTTCAGGAACAGTTGTGTACCTTCACTCTGTGTCCTGGCTCAGCTGACAGTCTGGGAGAGGGGCACGCGTGCGCCTCTGAGCACCCATCGCACCTGTGTGCACCCCAGCCTGGCACACCATCGGCAAGAGCAGCAGGCCCCACCCCCAGGCCGCGGCGGGGAGAGCATGCCAGCTGCCGTCTCTGTCTTCCACTCTGCCTTCACACACCTTCACGTGTCTGCCAAGCCTTCCTGCTGATGAGTTAGTTAATTGAGATTAAATGAGCAAAGACATAATTTATGTCTTTATTAAGTGTCCAAGAGACTCAAGATTTTAATAAAAGCATTCCAGGGAGTGGGAGAAATGGCCAATACTGTACGAGCTCGGCTGCCCAAAGAACTGTCACACTTGGCCTTGCCCAGCCAAGATCCAACCTCGTTGTTCCTCAGTGGTCATCCCCATGAGACCCTAGCAATTAACAAGGCGAGAGTGGAAAATTAAAACAGTTTAAGAGACTGGGCCCCGTCCACAATCAGGAGGAAGGAAGCCTGGGGACAATGCTGGCTGGCCCCTCTGATCTCAGCCTGTGGGCAGCCACCTGTACTGGGCTGGCACAAACCAGGGACTCCAGGGCAAGGCGGCCACCAAGCATCCTAAGCCCTCCCAATCAGATGTGACAAAGTTCAGCATATATGAATCAACAAAGTGAGTGGGAGGCCCCAGCAGGCTTAGCAAGATAAGGGATCCGCCTAAGACACCAGCCTTCCAATGCCAACCAGGGCCACCCACAGGTGCATTCCATCTGGCTGCGAGGGGTCGGGCTGGGGTGGCCTGCTAAGCTGGCTTCCTTGTTTGACTTCCACTTCTGGGATTGACAAAAATGTACCAAGAAAATAAAATAGGTTCCAACAGAATGTTATCATGCAAAGCACTCCCCTGAAGAACTCAAAAGTATGAGGAAACTGGGAGACGTAGGCTCTTAAGGCCACTCCTGTTACTACAGATGCGATGTGGCAACTGGTTATCCAAGAGGCAAAGGCTCTGGGACTTTTTAAAATATAAAATACACTGACAGGTGTAGTGTAAAAAGTACAAAACAAAGACTCGATGTAATGGGTTTTGGCTCCGGCCTCACCCAGGCCACCCGTATTTTCCAACCCTCTCTTCTCTCCCCATCACGTCAGCCACCACTCCGGCAGGTTTGGCTGTTCCAGTACATGCTGACCACTCACTCCCGTGCTTGATCGATTCGAGGGGCAACCTAGGTGGCGCAGGTGTGACAGGCGTCAGGGATCACCCGGCCTCCAGCTGCAGGCGTATGCCCTTGCACTGAGGGCTGGAAGGCCCACTTCTAGAAGCTTTTACGGGACAGGTTTCATACATGCTTTAGAGTCTGACTTCAAAGCAACTGTCAGGCTCGAACCCAAATCTAGTTTCTGGGCTGACCTGGATCAGGAAGAGTGTGGACATGGGTAAAGGGGCCATCGGTCTTTCTGGCCAGATCTGGCAGAGGCTGGGTTGGGTTGGGGCCAACAGATATCTCAGTGGCTAAGGAAGTAGGATCTCAGAGCCAGGGGCTGGGGGAGTGACTCCCCAATTCCTGTAAACCCAGCAGAGACACTGGAAGGCTGGTTCTGGGGCACTGCCCTGGGAATTCATCCAGTGGTCCTGCATGCAGCTGCCCCAGCAACTTGGTGAGTCCTGTTTCCCCGTATTCAATCCCTATCCCTGGAATACCCAGGGTGGTTCCTGCTGTGTGGAAATCAAAACTCATGCCCTGATGAAGCTGCTCTGGGGTGGCGATCCGAGGCGGGGTTCAGGCCATGTCAGCACGATTGTTCTCCTCAACTGATACATGAGTCTCCTTACTTAATTCCAGGCCCCTCAAGGCCATTCCTGAGAGAACAATGGCAACAGTCCTGCAGCCAGCATGATAGGTAACACTTCATCAACAGGTTTAACAAGAGCACGAAGCACTCGGGTCACGCCCCATTTCATAATCTTAGGCTCCCCGCTTGGCCTTCCTGTCAGGAGTGCCCCCCACGGATGCCCCCAGAAGCGCTGAGCCAAGATGGAGTGGAGAGGCAAAGGCTCCGGAGAGGCTGTCCACACACTACGTGCTGGTTACTACAGTCTGTTAAAAAGGTGAAGAAGAGGGCCACTGAGACAGCGGATTAAGTACCTGCTTGAGCAAGCGCAGGGACCAGGGTTCAATATCCGGCACCACATGGCATACTGGCCTCACCCCTGGGCACACTGAGCTGGGTACTAAGACTAGGTGTGGTGGCCCACACCTGTAATCCCAGTGCTGGGGAGGCTGAGACAGGAGGATCACTATGAGCCCAAGCTGCACAGTGAGACCCTGTACCAAATACATAAAAAAGGAGGGGGGACACAAAAAATGCAGGCAGAAGCTACAAAAAGTGGGGTAGATAATTATTATTTTTTTTTACTTGTACATTCTAAGGACAGACTACCAGAAACACAATTCATATTGTTTTAAAAGAAAAGCAAACTGGTTGATTTTTATGAAAGTATAAGATATTCATCAAACTAATGGAATTTCTACAGAAGACTGGAAAATAAATGAGAGAAAAGCAAAACAGCTTTCAATACTAATGAAAATAAAGTGTAAAATAAGAATCATTAAAAACTGTGGGCAGAAGGAGAGTCTGTGATTGTGGAGATGGAATTTGTATGGATAAAGCCAAGGGCTGGGGGAGCCACCGCAGAACAGGCTGGCGGATTTTTTTTTTAACACTTTAATGCCATAAACAAAATTATGAAGATTTACCTAAAAAGTTAACAAGTATTCACTTATTTTTTTCTGAAATATATGTTTTCATCAATAGAGAGTAATATTCCAACCAGAAATGGGTTAAACACCCAGACAACTGACAAAATAGGAGTTATAAATGATTTTTTAAAACCCAGAAAATGTTTGATTCT